CACATCAATGAGTGACAAAGGAAAATATGTCTAATGTAAGTAAAGCATCTGTAATCATCTATCTTCTGTAACACAGAGCTTTCTGCTTTGAAGATCTGATGGTGGAAAGTGTTCTCTATCTCTGGATCTGAATAGGTACATATAAAATGTTATACACAAACAATGAATCATGGAACACTACATCAAAAGCTAACGATGTAATGTATGGTGATTAACATAACATAATAAAATAAAAGGTATATGATAATACAAAAAAAATTCTTAGGAATTACAAATGTGTACAGGACCTAGCATATGGTAGGTGCTTCATGAAGATTCAGTTAAAAGGAATTGGCATGGACTTCTGGCTCTCAATGAGAATGTGGAAAGCTGGAAAGAGTGCCACCCCTACCCTAGCAACAAGAAAAAGCTGAATAATCTACAAAATCATAACTTTTACTGAACCCAGAGAGAGGTCTCAAGGCAACCACCTAGCCTGATGTCTGAAGAAAGATAAACATCTGCAAGGAGAGATGGAACATGAGCACAGGCTTGCCTGTGGCTGCAGGGGAAAGGCAAAGTCATCATAGAAGGTGGTATGAAGAATTCAGCTAAATTTTTAAAGAACTGCTAAAGGCCAGGTATGGGCTAGCCTGAGAGTACAATACCCTTGGGAGCCATAGATATAAGAGGAATTTATACACACTCACAGGCTTTTCTCCATGGATTTACAGTACTGACCTAGTAGAGAGCAAAAGCCATTGCAGTAGGAAAAGCATGAAACCATGTCCAATTCTTTTCTCCCTAAAGAATAAGAGCCCTGAGCTTTAAGGGAAAGGCAGCAAACTGTTCCCCGCAGGGTATAGAGGAAGACCTACTGCAGCTGGAGAAATGTAAAAAATAATAATAATAATAATTCCTCTACTTCTGGGAAGGGGCAGAAATTAGTCCTGGGCCCAGACCGTTAAGAAATATCCTACCACTAGCAGAGGGAAAGAATAATTAAGAAAGTCCCACTTCCATGACCCAGAGGCACAGGATCTACTTAAGGCTGAGGCTGAATCAAGAAAACGGAGAACTCAAATTAAAAAAAAAAAAGGAAAAAAAAGAAAACAGAGAACTCCTCCCTGTCCCAGACTAACAAGCACTTAATAAGAAGCAATACCACCATACCATTAGGGAGGCACAGGAGCATGAAGAATCTCTTTGAAGCACCGATGCACATGGAAGGTCCAAAGCTGAGGGTAGAGCAGGAAAATGGAGAACCCCACCACCATGCTAAGCACATGGTAACAGAGGAACTTGAACCTGGTGATGAACTGAGGGTAACCATAGCAACAACATAACCCAAACATAGCTCATCTTATTAGATTAACTCAACCTCCCATATTGATGACCTAGAAGAAGAAGAGTGCCTATTTCAAGGCATACATACTATTTACTTCAATCTCTACTGTTCTACCAGCAATGTCTGGCATTCAAACAAACATTTTGAGAAGCAAATAATCAAGCAAAAAAAAAAAAAAAAGCTCACTCTCAAGAGACAAAGCAATCAATATAACCAGCATTAGAGATGACTTGGATATTCAAAGTATGAGACAGGAAATTTAACACAACTATAAATAATATGTGAAAGGTTTTAGTGAAACATATGGAAAACATGCATGAACAAGTGGAGATTTCAGCAGTGATGTTAACTATAAAAGTCAAGTGAAAATGCTAGAAATGAAAAACAGTAAAAGAGCTAAAAAATGCCTTTGACAGTCTCATCAGTTGGCTCAAAAAAGTTGAGAAAGGACTCAGTAAAACTGAAGATAGGAAATAATGGTTCCAAAGTGAAACTCAAAGAGGAAAGAGAATGAAAGCAAATAAACATATGAACACATACACACACACATAAGAAACAGAATAGCGAATCCAAGAGCTGTGAGTTAATATCAAAGGGCTTAACAAATATAAAATCGGTTTCCCACAAGGAGAAGAAAGAGAACAAAGCAAAAAATAAAATTGAAGAGATAAAGGTCAAGAATTTCCCACCCAAAATAAAATATGTCAAATTACATATCCAATAAGTTCAGAGAACCCCAAGGATGATAAATAGCCCACCAAAGACACACACACACACACACACACAACAAAACAAAAACCCTAGACATTTCGTATTTAAATGGCTAAAAAACAAAGTTAAAGAGAAAAGTCTTAAAATCAGTAAGAAGAAAAATACAAAGGAGCAAAGATACGAATGATAGTAGACTTCAGAAACCATGCAAGCCAGAAGACAAAAGAGTGGTATTTTTAAAGTGCTGAAAGGAAATATAAAGTATCAATATAAAATTCTATATCCAATGTAAATATATTTCAAAAATGAAGAAGTGAGGGATTTTTACACAAACCGAGGCAGAGAATTCATTACCAGAAGCCCTGCACTATATGTAACATTAGAGAAAATTCTTCAGGCTTAAGATGTATAGAAACTTGGATTTGCCCAAAGAAACTAAAATTCCAGAAATGGATTCAAATGAATAAAAAATAATTTTGTCTTCTTTTTAATTGCTCTAAAAGATAATTAACTAAATAAAAAGCAATAGTATCGAGTATAGGGAACAAAGTAATAGTATTGTGGGTTTATATCACACATAAAGGTAAAATATATAACAAATATAGCCATACTACACAAGCTGGGTCAGCACACAGTGAAGTATTACTTGAAGAATACTAATTGAAGGTATACTGTGTATTTTAAAACGTATGTTGGAAAATTTTTGATTCTGGTGATAGTTACATGACTAAATGACTACATGACTAGTCCAAACTCATAGAATTGTATATTTAAAAGAGAAAATTTTATCAAATGTAAACTATACCTCAATAAACCCTAGTTTTAAAAAAAGGAATTACCATGCACAACTCACCTTTTACCCTCTTGACTTTTCTTCTTTTTATGGCACCACAGTTCTGATGACTGACGACGAAAAACCATCTTTTTGTGTTAGCTAACCTTACCTTTGCTTTTTACCTCATATGACTGTTTCTATTCCTAAAATCTGGTGATGGAGCAAGCTGTATTCCTTCAAATAAAAAATACAGAAGCACACACGCACACTTAAACACACACACACACACACACTCCTCAGGATTTAAAATGGGTATGAAGTCATAGAGATTGTAAATATAATAAAGAAGTGAAGAAGAACTTCTATGTATGTAGGTGTATGTATCTAGGTATATGGTAGCAAAATTCACCTACATCACACAATTGTTAACTAATCATTCAGCCTGAAACGCATGTGAGGTAGCATAAACAACATATTTGTATTTGTATCACATCACTGTCTATAGCTTATTGATTCTGTTAAAAGGTAAAATCAAAATGGTTTTAAAAAAGTGTCATGGCTATGGTGAGCACTGTGAATTGTGTAAGACTGTTGAATCACAGACCTGTACCTCTGAAACAAATAATACATTATATGTTTAAAAAAAAAAGAAGATAGCAGGAAAGGAAAAATTGAGGGGGGGGGGGGGAATCGGAGGAGCAGACGAACCATGAGAGACTATGGACTCTGAGAAACAAACTGAGGGTTCTAGAGGGGAGGGGGGTGGAAGGATGGGTTAGCCTGGTGATGGGTATTAAAGAGGGCACGTACTGAATGGAGCAATGGGTGTTATACACAAACAATGAATCATGGAACACTACATCAAAAACTAATGATGTAATGTATGGTCATTAACATAAAATAAAAAAATAAATAGTACCCCCCAAGAAAATAAAAATAAAAAATAAAAATTGTCATGAATATTGGCATTCTCTCTGTTCCCTATACTCACGGGTTCTTTCTGCTTTTAGGAACCTTCCACAATGCTACATTTACTACTCAGCTTTGGTGCTATAGGTACTTTTGTGCAAATTTTAAAGATCTCCCCTACCCCAACTTAGGTACATGAATTTTTTTTAAAGCCCCTTCTAGGCAGATGCAACCTAAAGGTACAAGGCTTGGCAAGCAGAGGGCAACCTTATCTAAACTACAGAGAAGCCCCTTCCACTGGACCTATACCAGGACACCTCTATACAACCCAGTATAGAGGACCTGTGGTTAGTCTACAGTAAAGATCAGCCTAGAGAGAGTGATTTGGTTTTTGAGGGACAGGCTTGGGGAAAAGGAACACTGCATTTGTACAGAACCTCATAAAAGACTGAGAAAATGTCTAATCCCCATACTAGAGAGTGGGGGAAGGTGATGAAGGTGATAGGGCCTTTAAAGTAACCCCATCTCCAAGCCAGCCTTCAACAGTATCCCTGCTTTACCTAGAATGCATCAACATTGTCCTCAACAACCACACAAGGAATATATTATAGCTGCAAATATACAGTTATTTGTATGCTTACATATGTAGTATATGTGCCTCTCCCAGTCCTTCCCAAACACATACACATATTTAATCACTTACACATTTCTAGACCATAAGCCCTGGAAGAACAGAGATCATCTGTTTTGGTCATCACTTTATCTCCAGAGACTATGACAGTGCTCAGCACATACTTTGTGTGTAATAAATAATCATTAAATAAATGCAGAGTTTTTCTTGTTAGATTATTTCGCTAACTCTGTCACACACATGTGCACACACATACACACAGTATGATATAAAATGTGGAAATGTTCATTTTTGTAATATTCATTTAAAGGTTGAATGTAATTTGAATGGTATGGATGTATAACATAAAACAAATGATATTTTTATTTAGGTATATCTTATTTTAATTAATTCCCTTTTCTGTTGATTATTTTATTAATTTTCTGCTAATAATTTTTAGATCTTATGTTTGGTCTGTTGGTTCACCATAGATTTCCAATCCATTTCTTCTGTAATAATTTCTCACAGATATCACTGAGCTATCTTAATTTGATTTATCTCTCAGAGTGAAATGCTTTTGTCATTATTTTTTCTGCAATGTAGGGTTTTCACTTGCAATCATTGTTATTAGAAAATGAAGAACCAATACATAATCTAACTCCACTTACCAAATAGATCCTGCCATAAGTACCAAGGCCAATGGTTTTATCCAGTGAGAATATTCCAGTTGGATCCTGCAAAAATGTAGAACAAAAATTGTCAATCTTCTTGGAAAAGTAGGCAAGTATTCAACTATCTATAATTGTATCTCCAATCTGCCTTGCTTCTTTAGAATTTCCACAGGAGGAACCTAAGTGTCATTTACCAAATGAATAAACATGTCACAATTTTCCTGGACAGAGTATAGTCATTTATGGAAAAGAAACAATGACATGAACATTAAGCAGTTGTATAACAAATTATTACAAACCTGTAAAATGCATACAATTATGTCTAGTTGAAGCATATTCATAATGCAATTAGAACAATTATTGAAATAGAAATAAATTTATCTACTTGGAATTGACATATTCTTTTAAAATTTATTTTTTGAGTACTAACCAGACAGGCAGAAAGTTTAGCCTACAGCAATGATGAGTAGCGATATTGGATACAAAGTCTGGACAGTTTATTTACATAACAGTAATTCTTGAGAAAAAAATATCACCTCTAAATATGAATAACAAAAGATGTGGTGTGTGAATACACACACACACACACACACACACACACAATGAGCATATTACTCAGCCATGAAAAAGAATGAGATCTTGCCATTTGCAACATGGATGGACCCAGAGAGTATCATGCTAAGTGAAATAAGTCAGAGAGAGAAAGACAAATACCATATAATATCATTCATATATGGAACTTAAGAAACAAAACAAATGAACAAAAAGAAAAAAAAGAGACAAACAAAAAAACAGACTTAAATACAGAGAACAAACAGATGGTTATCAGAAGGGCAGTGTCGGGGGGGGGATAAGTAAAGTAGGTGAAGGGGATTAAGAGTACACTTATCGTTGGGTGCCTGGGTGGCTCAGATGGTTAAGCGTCTGCCTTCGGCTCAGGTCATGATCCCAGGGTCCTGGGATCGAGTCCCGTATCGGGCTCCCTGCTCCTTGGGAGCCTGCTTCTCCCTCTGCTTCTCTCTCTCTCTCTCTCTCTATCCCTCTGTCTCTCATGAATGAATAAATAAAATCTTAAAAAAAAAAGAGTACACTTATCGTGATGAGCACTCAGTGATATACAGAATTGTTGAATCACTATATTGTACACCTGGAACTAACATAACACTGTATGTTAATTATACTTCAATAAATAAATAAATAAATAAATAAATAAATAAATAAATAAATCTTTAGTGCCCCCCAAAAGAATACGCACATAAATAAATAAATAAATAAATAAATAAATAAATAATTAAATCTTTAGTGCCCCCCCAAAAGAATACGCACAGTGTCTTGAACCACGATAAGTCAATAAAATCAGATTTTCTTTAAAAATTAAAAAAATATATATGAATAACAAAGCAAGAGCTTGGCATTAAAACACAGCAGTTTTTTTTTTCAACTAGACAGCTGGGGGGTTTGTTTATTTTCAAGTTAATTTTTGCATCAGCTGAATACCTTTTCACGGCACAAATTCCCTGATGACATTTTCTGTATCTTAACCCTGAAAGTGGCGTCATAGGAGACAAATAAACATGTTTATGGACAGATGCCTAAGATTTCCATATGCATTCTTAAACATTGCCTCTATACCTTTACTATGGATATCCCTTTCTTATTCACCACAAAACATGGTTTCTTGAATTTTATCACTACTTAAACTTTTAGTTTAGCAGCTTATTTTGCTATATTAGCAAAACCAAAATGAGGTACAAGTAGATGCCAGTTTATACACAAAGTGGTAGGATCATTGGCAAATCCTTAGAGATTCACATGCCTTATATAGAAGGCACATTCTATAAACACAAACTTCGTTTAACCTTGTTTGAAAACATTTTTATCATTGTGACAAATGTGAGCTAACTATTGAGGGTATGCAATGTATATGAATGAAATAATGGATTTCTTAAAACTGTTACGGCATATGTGTAATCTAACAAAACTGTCATAGGAAAATGACACAGCTCTGGGATTACTTCAGTCAATAAGTATTCAACTGGACAGAGTCAGGAGACTGGAGGTTTAGCCCCAGCTCTACTATTAATTAACTATATGACTCTGGAGAAGTTATTTACTCTTTCTGGGACTTAGTTTTCACACATATAAAATGAAGGTTTTCTGTTAGGCTATTTTCTGGCTTTAAAATTCTATAGGAAAAAAATCAGATTCTAATGTCCTAAAATCCCAATTGGATTTGATATGAACACTGTTAGAGAAACAGCAGCCTACTTTCTTAAAGTCATCATCAACATCAACGTCACAATATGCACTCTATTATTATAACCAAATAGTTCAGGGAACATACTCCCAATGAAAATATAAGTTATTTAAACTGATAATTTTGAGAATTTAAGAAAAATAAAAATAAATTGTTACAGTGGTCTTGATATTAAGCATATCATTGTTATTGTAACTCATTGAAAAATTTATGGGAAAAAAGTTAACCAACAAAGGAGTTGCTAAGGTTTGGCTTAAAGACTTTATCACTTTAGCATATTTCTTTGAAGGATATTATTAAGGGATTTATATTAGACATTATTAATTCTGGAGGAACAACCTCTGGCCACGTGTCAAAAGAATCAAATGTATTAGCTGATTCCTATCGGTAATCCATTCTTTGTTATAGTGAAGGCTACATTTTAGCTGAATAAAATACCTCATATTAGAGAATTACTATATTATATGAACAACTATATTTCTGAATCTCTGAGCACAAAAGTCCTAAATGTCTTTAAGCCTTTTTCTAGCCTTCAAAAGTATAATACTTTACTCATAATTTGAACTCAGGTATTTAATTACTAGAACAAAAAAACACCAAAGAAATGGACAGGGATAATGAAATACCTGTGGAATTCTTGGAGGCCTTATTTTATCTGTATTCATTGTTTGTTGTTTGGAAATGTTTTCTTGGTCACAAATGACCAAAACATCGTAATTCTCCTCATGCTCACATTTAAAAAAAGAATGTTATAAAAAATTTTCTTCTGTTCTTAGAGGCAGCTCAATTTAGTATTCATCTTTACTAAGAGTACTTTTTTCCTTAGTTTTATGTAATATTTTTGTTCCCCATCTCCACACTAGTATCTTTCAAGACTAAATGATTTTCAGACTGGGAAACAAGGGGAGAGGTACTGTGCTAGTTATTAGTAGGGTACTATTACTCAATTTCTTATATCAGACTTTCCACTGAATGATAGAGAAAGTTTATTCTGGGATCCCAATGAAGGAAACATTGAAAAAGAATCTTTTTTTTTCTTGGTATCTGTGAAATTAAAAAGTCCACATCAGAGGGGTCTCCATAATTACTTGGTCCTCTTCTCTGCCCTGCCACTCTGAGATAAGAAAACCAGCAGAGGAAAGGTCTTTATAACTATGCCTGCTACAATAATTTGAAGATTATTTGGCAGTTTCATATGCTTTGGTGTTCTATTTAGTTAAAAATGGTCAGTAAACAAGAAACCCTACTTTATAAAAGCCTTTCTCAAAGGAAATTATGAAAATTCTAAGTCTTAAAACATTTTTGAACCATAAAATGCTGGGCAAACACTTTACACTTAGTTATACTTTCTAGGTATCTAAAATATCTCCTGCAACTTAAAAGTCTTAGTCTGGTTATTCCCTGAAACCCAAAATTTTCAGGAGTTGTTTCTGTCTTCTGAATTCAAGGAGGGGGGGAGGAATGAGTACCTTGATGGACAATTTTATTAAGGATAGGGGTGGGGGGTAACAGGAAGAAAAAGAACCACTAGAAGGCAGTGTTTACTGGTCATGGAGGAGACTCAAAAGCAGAGGCTTATCAACAGAACCAAATATAGCAGAAATTAAGAACAAAAGGGAACTGATAAATGGTCAATATGGATAGCAATACATTTTAGATTTAGGGCAATAAAGAAAGAGAACCAGGGAACATAAGCCATTATTCAGGCAGCTAAAGGAAGGGAAAAGATTGCACAGCACCTAGAAGGAATAGCAGAGGCTTTTCTTTTTTTGTTTTAAATATTAGAAATAGAGATTTTATGAAAAGTTTATGAAGAGAAAAACCTAAAAATGACATATATAACACAGTAAGTGCCAGAGTGAGTTTCAGAGATAGTTAGAAGAATGGGCTTCACAATTCAAGTGGAAACCATAGAAAGGAAAAATCTCTTCCTCAAAGACCAGTGTTTCTCAAACTGTGGACTGTAGAGACTCTCCCTACTTGAGAATCATCTGGGGAATCTTGTTTAAAATACAGATTACTTGGGGCAGCTGGCTGGCTGAGTCGGAGCAGCATGCAACTCTTGATCTTGGGGTTGTAAATTCAAGCCCCACGTTAGGTTTAGAGATTACTTAAGAATAAAATAATCTTAATAAAATACAGATGCCTTGTCCCTACCATGGAATTACGAAATCAGAATTTCTGAAGATGGGTCCCAAGATCCCCCAAATGATTCTTGTGCATTATTCTTGTGCACTAATATAAAACCCACTGCTCTAGAAATTGGGTAAAAAAAGACTGAGAAAATAGATTGAAGTACCACTTGAAATACATAATGGAGGACATGCTGAAAGTTTCAATATTTGTGGACTAGAAGGTAAAACTGCTTCAAAACAGGGGGCTAAGGTACTTGGTAAAGTGGGAAGGTTCTTATGACTGAGTATGGAAAGCGGGCTTGGTCTGGGTGGTGGAAGACTGGGAGAGCTGACAGTTATATTTAAATATAAACCTAATGTAATTCAAATATAGTTTTTGGATCATGTGCTATTTCAGATCACCTCTGCCACTACTGTCCTCCAGGCCTGTCTAATCCTGACCCCAATATAGATTAGGACTACACATGGCAGTGTCAAATACCAAGGCCACAGCCATGAGGAATGTCATTACCATACTGGGCACAGAAGTCAAAGGGGACTATCGTAGTGAAAGAAATGCCAGATTTGGAGATGAAGAAATAGTTTCCAGTCCCAAGGATTGAGTAACATAGGCATACTAGGGGAAAAATTAATATATATATTAGTATATATATACACTAATATATATATGTGTATATATATAGGGGGGGAGGGAGACACACACACACACCCAGGTATTGCTGGCAAGCAAGGTGAAAATAATACTATATATGTGTGTGCACAAACACCCCCCCCAGATATACATAAAGAAATAAGGCTTTGCAATTCTATTTTCAAAAAGAAAGCACAAACCACAAATCTCTGTACATTTTTTGTTTTGTTTTGTCACCTGTAGGAGGTATTTATTCAATAGTAAATCAGAAAATAATTATAGTGACCTCTTAATTAAATATAGCTGGCCTGTCATTTCCTGGTTCCTATGTTGGCTCTCTTATTTTATGTCTCTAACTTTAAGGAATTATGCAAAAAAGGTTAAACAATTCCCTCCCCCCCTCTTTTGCTTCCCCAGCCTTCACTCTTGCTTACTATTTTAGGTTTAAAAATAATATCTATCTAATAACAAAAATACCAAATAACCTTCCGCCACTTTCTTTAAATCCAAATTTGCACAGCCAAGGCTGACCACTCTCAAGGGTCCTTGCCTTGTGGTCATTTAGCTGGCCAGCCCCACAAAGGACATAATATATCAATCTTAAACTAAACCCATATTTAATTATTTTAAAATCAGCAAAATTATTTTTTGCTCAGTGTGAAACACCAAAGTCTGAATCTACCTTCATTATCTGGCTCTTGCCAAATTGGTATATTTGGTGTTGATTGATGCCAACTTTCTGACCTTCATATATTATGAGGATAATTATATTGAAGATAATTATCATAAGAGATCCCACCATAAGCAGATTTATTTGCTTTATCACCTACTTTGCATCAAAATGCAAACTTCCAAACATCTAACTTCGATGTCTTTTGACCTCTTCATTTTCTTTTACTTCCTCAGAAACTCAGGAAATTAGTCAAATGCAAAGAAATCTCAAATCATTAAAATATATCTCAGTGACCAAAGCAACATGAACTTTTTGCATCTCTAAAATTTTGACGGTAAGGAAATTCTAAAGGGAGTACTACACTTCTGCTAGATTTCTTAGGGTTTAGACCTGGATGTTTGAGGAGAGGGGAGAATTAGGCATAATTTTTTCAAATATGCATAATTTGCTATGGTGAAGACCTCCACAATGAAATCCCGCATAATAAATTTAGAAATTGTTCGAAGCTGAGGACTTAATGAGACTTTCGTGAAATTTTGTTTTCTCCCTATTCCTACATTAAAAACCAACCTCATCTTTCTCCCCTCCACACCCCTACAAAACCCCAGAAAACTAATATCCCACTGAACTGCAGTGTAAAGATTGCAGCCTTTCCCCTTATCTCCTCAGCTCTCACCAAGTTCTTATGTCCCAGGGCCATGACCGGGTCAGTTAGTCTGGGCCATTTCCCCCCATTTTTTTGTGGCAATAAAACTTTTTCCCCCTTGGGTTTGGAATTCCCTGCTCTATCATTTCTATGAGGTCTTTCCCATTCCTCTCTTTAGTCAATTTTAGAAAAAAAAATGGTTATTTCAGTTTGCTTATTTGTGGTTTCACATATTTGCCCTAGTTTGCTTTTTTTCTTCTTTCCCCCACCCTACATAGAGACTGTTGGAGATGGGTGGTAACATTTTATTCATCAGTTTTACATTTTTACTTGGGAGTAAACCTAGTAGAAATATGAAAATTCTGCTCAGAAAGGAAACCACCAATTGAGGCCTTCACATCCCAGAAATCTTACATATGCAAGGTGAAAAAATATTTAACTTTTAAAAAGTTTGTAGATTTATTTTATAAAGCTGTATCAATAACAACAATGCTAATATATGCAATTTAACATGTCAATATTGAAGTTCCTTTTTTGTAAGGCTGAGCACAATTTGCTGAAATGTTACCCACGTGCATCACTTCCTCCTCTACACCATTCTAGTGTAAAATTATATAGGTGAGGCTTGGGGAATGCCCCATTTTTGATAAGGACAGGTGTCTGCCTTCATCAAGAACACAGTCTTTAAATGCCAAATATGTGTAAAATTAAAGCACCGCGACTTTGAATAGTCCTATAACCTCAAGGTTAATATTTAGCTTTTCCCAAAGCAAGCAGGCCACTGCCCTGAACTATAGTTGCCTGGCGATCATTCCAGCACGGTGCATGCTTATTCCCTTTCAGAGTCCAGGGGCCCTTTGCATTCAAGAGAGGGTGCGAGTGAAATGCCAATCTAAAAAGGGAACTTAAAGAACGGAGCTGGGTGGGATCCAGTATCTGCCAGAAACCAGATGCCAATGAAATAAACGCCACTGCTAAAATGATAAGTCTACTAATAACGACAGCGATAATAGCTCACCAATCAATTACAATTCTGGAGGAAAGCTGGGCATTCAGAAAAAAGAGAATCCACAAACGAAAACCATAAGAAAAAGTTAATTCTGGTTAGTTAGTGAGCGCAATATTTTCTTTTTTAAATTGGGGTGTGCAGAATCCACTTCTTCCCCAAGCGGCGTCGAGTGCTTTTGCTCCTGCCATACTAAATCGGGAACAGTGCCCTGGCAGAATAAGGTTTTAGAAAGCGCCATTATAAAGTGAGAGAAGTGAGACTCCAAAGTTTTAATTTTCTAGCCCGCTGTCCCCTAGAGCTAAAGGTAACTCCGGGAGTGGGCATCTCCTTTGGCAAAAGAAGCAAACGACAGGGCGGCTGGGTGACAGGGAAGAGTGCTCTCAGGAAGCCACGCGTCGTCGTGCTCTTTGGCCTCTCCTCGAGCCCCGCAAGAACAGGTACCCGAGCACCGCTAGGCAAAACGGGCCACATTTAGAAAATGTCCCGTAGTTTAGGGCCCGCACCACCCCACTGCCACCTCTTCTCTCTCCCCTACCCCCGTCCCTTCGCCTTTTCATGAGTTTGGCGTGGCCCGGGTGCCTGGGGGGCGCCTTTTCGGCAAGCCGGCTCCAGGGTCCCTTCCCGCACCCGCGGCCCCGTCGAAGTCCTGTCCTAGCCCAGCTTGTGGATGTCCCTCTCCTACCCCAGTGCTCAGAACCCGCAGAAGAGAGCACTTCGGAGGCGATGGGCGTCCTCTACTCACCGGCAAGTGGCCCAGATCCGTGACTTCCTTGTCCCTCCAGCCCCCAGGTCCCGCCATGGCTTCGAGCCGATCGAAAGCGGGCGACTGAGTTAGGCACGCTCGGGTAGTCTGAGGTGGATTCGGACAAGAAGTTGAAAAGGGAGAGGAAGGGGAAAGGAACAGGGGACTGGGGTTTGTGGCTTGGGAGATAGAGGAGGGGAAAGTGGAGGGAAAGAGTTAGGAGTGGAGGGAAGTTGGAGTTTGAGAGGCGGGAAAGCAAGTTTGGCTAAGGCGAGAGAGGAGCCTGAGCGTCTGTCCTGGAGACCAAGAAGTTTAGAGGGGTGCTCCACGGGCAAGAGCGCAGTGTCTGCTCCGGCAGGGTGCGCCTCTTTCAGGGTGGGGAGGGGGGCGGTACAAGGAGGGGAGGCCCCCCCGGGAGCAGCTCGAAGAGGATTGGTGCAGCGTCACGTCGCCAGGTGGGCAGCAGCGCGGCGGGGAGGCGGGCTGGGGCGGGGGGGAGCACTGTCCGAGGGAGGTGCTGAAGGACTATAACGGTTTGCTATCCGGCCCCGTGCGGCCTCCCCCGCCTGCACGCCCCCTCCCACATCCACCGCTGCGCCCGCCGCCCCCGCCCCGGCTGGCGAGTGTTCCACAGGAAACTTTTTCGAGGCAGCTGCCAGCCCCGGAAAACCGGTCCCGCTCCGCGCCGCTCCCAGTCTGGGCCTCACAGCTCTGTCACAGTCCAAACAGCCCGCGCCTTCATCTCTCCGTGAAACACTTGTGCCTTTTCTAGTTGTCTCTTTTCTCTTTCTGCTCCTCTGATTTTATTGCTTCGTTTACTCAAAGACCTATCAAGCTAGATAAGGAAATGACTTGGCACTGAGTTAGGGATCAGACATAGGGGAGCCCCTGTGCCGATGGGGAGAGAGCACCAAGTGCGCCGCAGGGCTACCACAGCTCGGCCTTCGAAGCCACTGTATGAGGGCAGTGCGGCATGGACAGGGCCGCCGCGATGTCCCCTTGAGGCGGGCCGCATCTTTTCTGGCCCGGAGCTAGTTGGTACCAGGCCCGGGCTGCTCAGTCGGAACCGCACCTGTTCACAGGTGCTGGAATTTAAGAGAGACTCTCTGAAGCCCCAGCTGCCCCGTTCCTAAGTTTGCAGTTTACTGCGTTCAAAGAGCACAGAGAAAGTTCCTGCGAATTTCCCAGTCTCCAGCTCTAGGGCCCGGTTTCATTCATTCGCTCATTCGTTGCAAAATGTTTCTGAGCGCCCAGGCTCTTCGCCTCCGTTTCCCCCACAACATGCAGAGGATCTGACACACGTTTTTAAAAGAATCTGACAACGGGATTTAGCCTTAAGAAGTAAGGCGCCTCTTGAAGAGTTTATGGGAAAGGGATTCGGTACGTAAAACTAACCGCATTCTAAGCTCTTGCACTGCAAAGAGCACTTTAGAAAATGTCCCGAAGCTGCTTACTTTCCCTGGAGCTTACAGACTGCGTTCGCGCACCGGCACTCTGGGGTTGGAACGCAATGTGGGGGGTTTGTTTCCTGTTTCTTTTTTAATTAAGAAATTTCTGCCTCCTCTAGGAAGATTCACACGGATAATTCTTCCTACCGACCCGAAGCTCACCATTTCTGACACACGCTTCTAACTTTTGTAATTATTCTCTATATATTGGTGGATTTTGTTTCTTTCGTGTCTGTTTCAAGTTCGGAGTTTGACCTCTTTATATTCCTTAACTTCCGAGCCCCAGTGAGCTCTGTAATGGCCACAGCCTGTCTGAGGAACGGGGTCTCTCGAAATAAATTCTCTGTTAACGGGTACGGAGAAAACCAACTTACACCCCCCAAAAAAAGAAACTCGGGTGTTCTGGATCGAATTTTCATGTTAATTCAAATATGATGTAAACCATACAGAAATTGCATTTTCCAAGAATCCAAATCTTGACAACTACACCGCACAAGATCTTACCCTTCTAAAACATAGTTTAAGAATTCCTGGGTGATTAGAAAAACTTATGGATGTTGCTAAATATGAGCCTGAAAACAGCAATTCATGGCTAGAGATGGGCAGGTGAGCTAGTTAATAGAAAGTTACACTTTTGTATACGTATCTAGTTTTCAGAAATCAAAACACGGAGTAAAGAAATACAATATTTAAAGGCACTCTTTAGAGAATCTTTGCTAAAGGGAAGAAGGGTTCATAAGTTAAGATTTTTTTTTTTTGACAATGCGGTTTGCTGAAGGTAGGATGTGGGGAAATGCCCCGTGGCCCCCGATGGCAGAGACTGTTTTAGCCTGTCTAAAGAGACAAGTCCAGACCAGGCAAAAGAATCCAGGCTAGATCATTGGGCTCTCTAGTTGCAAGGCTCCCTGGGAGGCTAGCGGCTTCATGACTCCATAGGGATTAGCCACATCCCCGGGCGGACCCCCGTGGGAGTGGGGGGGGGGAATCTAGGTGTTTGACCAGAACATGACAGAGAAACTACACATTTTTTAAGTTATTATTATTTTCAAGGAAAAATGAGGAATGGAAGAGCATGGAAACTTTGCCTTGTACCCTGGCATTATGGGGATTTTTGTGGCCAACTTGGGGAAGGTCAGCCTAGCTAACAGACCAGAAGGCAAATAGGTGGCCCCCAAGCATGAGGCTTAACCCTGGGAGAAACCTTGAAATAGGGCACTTGTTTTCCAACTTCAGGACTTCTTTTCTCCTCACCCCATAACCATCACTTCCCCTTCCCCTTTCAAAATGTTCTTTTTTCTTTCTTTCCTGACCTCAAACTACATAAAAACAACCCTAGTCCATTCAGGGTTGGAACTTGTCAGGTTGTGTTTTACCCAGAAATAATTTAGCTGCCAATACCATCCATATGTCCCATATTTATTACATCTCTTTCTCTTCCAATCCATTCTATTATCTTAAGGCACTGAGAGCTTTGTAACTTTTGATTGTCGGTATTTTTTAATAGTTAAAGTGTATTGAATGCTTGCTATATGTGCTGGACTAAGTGTTTTGTATATACTATCTCATTTAATTTTGTTGAAACTTCTTCCAGGTTTTTAATTATCTCGATTTCATTGGCAAGGAAGTTGAGGCACAGAGAGATGAAGTAATTTTCCTAAAGCCTCTCAGCTAGAAATTGGAGGATCCTGGCTTCCAACTCAGGCAGTCTGACTCCAGAGCCCACTTGTCAATGGCTGAAGAGCTGGTGCATATTTTGAGACTGTGTGAAGAGGAGCCAAATTCAAAAAAGCCTCAGGGTAAGTGAGATCAGATGACATTAACCCTAGGCCCATGAGCTATCCAGTTCCCTTTTCCCCCCTTCAGCCTTCAAGCCCTCCTAACAGAAATAACAAGGGCTTTTATAAAAAGAAATGGAATCCAGTTATAGCCCAAGAGTAACTAGTGACTTGCCTAAGCAGAGATTACCAAGTGGGTCACCTCACAGGAAAAAATCATGAATTTCAAGCTTAAGAAACTTCCAGAGGAAAAAAATCCCAGCAATTTTCAATGCTTGGAAAATATTAAAATCCATACCTATTCTTTCCAGGGATTTTTTTTTTTTTGGCTGAGCGCAAACTCTACTCAGTGAAGTCTTGAAGGAGGCTGTGTTTGTGAGCAATCGTGCTTAGCAGACCTGAGGTGCTAAATGGCAAGGTTATAGACAGTTAGCTTAGTTGGTAGGAATACTATAGACATGGTGCCAAGGGTATGGGCTTGATCTCCCAGACAGTCAGTGTGCATCTCTCCATTCTTTAGCCCTTGATAACACCACCCCTCTGACCAACCAGTGATGCCTTTTGGGAAAAGCAACTCTAAAATCAATACTTCATCTTTGTATACAAATAACTGCATATTCATTTTTTTCATGTAAATTGCTAGTCACCATGATCTGGAGAAAGTATATTGCAAGAACACATGTGTGTTATAAAATATATAGATTCAAAAGATTCTAGGCTGCATTTTCTTCTTTTTTCATTTATACATTTATGACTGGCAATATATATGTTAATAGACACTTTAAAAATGAATCTCATAAAAAGCTTTATTAACCATTTATTAAGCATTTAAACACACAAAAAGATCTGTCATTTATTGTTTTTTCTCTACTCTGACACCTCATGTATGAAAATGAATATGTTGCCAACTTCTGTTAAGACAAATTTGCTGTCTACAATTATTGGTCTTGGATGGGACTGTGAAATAAGGTTATATAGCAATCTTCTTGAAAAAATACTTTCAAACACTTGTGCTTGCAAGCACTGAAGATCCAATATCTCCCAGTATACTTGGGAGGGGCTGGGCCAGCATATCTGAAAGCATCTCAGGAAGTGCTTGTTGAGGGAGGAAACCTCTTTGGGAGCCACTGGGTTAATGGACCTTCTTAAAGTTTTCTTTCTTTTTTATGGAGACACCTCTGCAACTGTAGGATTTCTGCCACAATTCCCAACACTCTTGCGACCACTCCTTTTGATTTTTTTTCCTACGTGCCACTCCTCTGGGGACAAAGCAAAAAGCCACCTGATGTTTCTCAGGCTAAAGGTCATGAAATGTGCCTTCTGACCATAGTTTGCAAAGCTTCTGTCACTTGTTATGGAATGCTCTTAAGCTCGGCATGATTTGAGCTATGCTTGTTTCTAAAATGAGGCCCTGGAAATCTGATCCTAACTGAACACGGGTCTCGTTGCTATTGAAAACTGGAATGCTACTCTAAAAAAAAAAAAAAAGACAATTGTTTTATAAAGAGAACTAAAACAAGGAAATTAAACCCAAAACTCAGATAAATTTCTGAAGTTGGTCATGAAGCTTCCTTTTGTTTTTGTCTTTTCCCTCTTGGAGGCCATGTCATTCTCGTCCTGGAATTCCCAATCCAGAAACTTCAGGCTAGCCATTCTCCCTCACTAAGAACAAACTCACACAAGAGCACATTTACCTTGATACTAATGAAACTTATGCTTCCAGACACCCCAGTTGTACTTCCAAGGGCCAAGGAGTGGCCCTAGTAATCCTGTGTTGACAATTTTATATTCCTTTTTGAAGTGGGCTCCCCAAATTATAAAAGCTTCAGATCCGACAAAACTTGGATTTGGCTGTGAATGCATAATGTAGAGTGAACATAGTTGAAGAGCGCACGCACGTGTGTGTGTGTG